CTCATGCGCGGTAGCCATGGGTAAGAAGACAAATGTGACAGAAGCAGACACTGGGTCCCAGCTCCTGTTCCCAACAGCCAAGAGCTGAGGTAAGTAACAATCTTATCTAGCTTTTGTGTGGTTGCTGGGGGTTCTAACTCAGGTCTTCAAGCATGCACAGCAAGGGCCTTTATCTACTGAATCATCTCCCCAGCCTGGTAAAAGTCCCCATAAGATGTCCTTTAAAAATATCCTATGTGCACTAGGCACTCACTATGTAGACCAGGCTGGCCTCTGACTCAGAGGTTCACCTGCCTTTGCCTCCTGAGTGGGATTAAAGGTGCCTGGCTCTATTTGCTGTTATTGTACAAAACTCATCTTTGAATTGTGGATAACTCAGTAATTTCTGCTAAAGGAAAGTGGAAAAATAAAAACAAAAGGAATCTACTACGTGAAAATAGCATAAGCCAGTTATTAGCTGTGCTCGAGAGCACAGATCCTAATGTGTAAATGGTGCTTTCCACCTGCTGTAGCATGAAACTCGACCAGAGACAGTCCCTCACTATGTAGTCAGCACACCCACACATCTTTCCAAGGCTCTCCAGGCACACACGGAGTCAAAACTCCAACTACAGCCAATGCATTATTTACAACCATAACAGTCACTTTAAAAACTAGTAATAACCACTTCAACAAATTGTTCAATGGAACTTAGGACAAAAGACTGTTCCAGTAATCAAAACACCCTTCCAAAGGAATTGTGACTGTCTTCTGTTGGCTTTGGGGGCTCCTCCACAGGAGGGGATTCATGCCTGGTACAGGAAATCTGGCTATGGGGCCTGTAGGCAGGGTGGCCTCAGGTGCTGTTGGGGAACCCACACTGCAGCCTCAGTCAGGCACAGAGGGACATGAAAGCTGGTGTTCAGCTAATTCTCCAGCTGAGACCCTGGCCAATGGGCTAGTGCAGAGTGAGGCCGTCTTCTTACCTCAGTTACCCTAAGCTAGGCCGTTCCTCACAGCCACACCCAGAGGCTAACCTGATCTAAATGATCCCTCACAGACCTTCCCAGAGGTTTGTGTCCTAGATGACTCTAGATCTGTCAAGTTGACAATTAAAATTAACTGTCACAGGTAGATCTGGTACTTAAAAAACAGATGTCTTTAAAATGTCCCATGATTAGTAATGTTTCTGAACCTTAACTCTGTTGTTGTTTCTAAATAATTTCTCAAATCTAGAAATAGAAATATGTATGATATAATGTGAATAGTCTTTTCAAATTTAATATGCCCGTGTTACCAGATTATCAGAGAATCCTTTTCAGGGTTAGTCATCCTCTTAGTTGCGGGGCATTTACCCACCAACCCCACAGCTCCCCAGAGTTTTCTCGAGTGTGATCAGCAGGAAATATGAGATAGAAGGACTTAGATTGTGGAGATAAACAGATAGGAAATAAAGGATAGCCTCGAGAGGGCGTGGAACCTTTTCCAATGGCCCCTACTGTCTCTGCCCCAGGGTATTTATAGAGACACCAAGGGGTGGAGCAAAATCCCTCCCCCCAGCACAGCCAAGTGCAGACCATCTCAGACACCTGCACTCAGGCCCATGGCCCGAATCATCCTTTCTATGTGGACCTGCTGGGTAAAGCCACGAGGAACCTGAAAACAGGCTCCCACACTTAGTTAGGGTTTCTACTGCTGTGAAGAGACACCATGACCACAATAACTCTTATAAAGGAAAACATTTAGCACGGGGTGGTGGTGGTATTTAATCCCAGCACTCGGGAGGCAGAGGCAGGCGGATCTTTGTGAGTTCTAGGCCAGCCTGGGCTACAGAGTGAGTTCCAGGAAAGGTGCAAAGCTATACAGAGAAACCCT